GTAAGGGAAAGAGATATCCTTTCATAGATCCAACTGTGCATTTTTGCTAACGCTTCTAAGAGTCTAGTCTACCATGTAAGTATCAATCCATTGTACAACAGTATGTAAAAATATCGGTAGTCCACTGATTTGGGCTCAGTACATTAATATTAGGCAGTATACTTCCTTTAATAATGGTGAAGTCGGTGTTATTGAACCAAGGGGAATAACTCTTCAATAAGCCGATAAATTCTTAGTTTTATTCAATCCTACCTCCCTGAATTTGCTAGTGAAAGACAATATATCTTTTTATCTACACACACCAATGTGGGGGGGGGGGGGGGGGGGTTGATGCTGAAAAATTCTTACACAGAAAGGTGTTTCCATACCAGAAGCGTCGGAAAATCAAGAACCCGCCGTGAGATCGCCGGAAAATCAAGAAAAGAAATCCGGAGTGACCCAAAAGAGATATACGGTTTTACACCTCTGAGTGTGTGTGTGTGTGTGCTGAGTGTGTAGGCTCGTGAGAATTGATGGTTCTTCTCCCTTTTTTTCAGACACAACCCTACGTGCGAGTGAGCGTCTTCAACAACGTTGGACATAAATACTGACCATTTTGTTGACTTTTAAGTCAACCGTACGAGTACTTGTGCATTTTCAGAAAATTACAGTTTCCACCCCTAATTATTCACTAATTTCACATTTGGTCCCTTATGTTCACAAAAAATATATTTAATCCCTCATATTTCAAAAATTTAACAATTTTGGTCTTTTTCGTAAATTTAACGTTAGTTAAGAGTTAAGACATGTTGAACACACGCTTGATTCCATTACTACTAACGAAAAATTGACTAAAAATGTCGAATTTTGAAAGATGATGGATCAAATGTGTTTTTAATCCAAATATAAGGGTCCAAATGTGAAATTTGTGCAAATTTGAGGGATGGAATTTGTGAATTCGACTCAATCGAAAGCTTATTTTAATAGAATCGAGAGAGCGGAGAGAAACCCAGAAGAAGAAATTTGCAGAGGAGATGAAGATGACATGGAAGAAGAACCCTAACGACAGTAAAAAAAGCAACAGCAGAAAACGACCCATCTCTTTAAACCCTAATCTTCCTTTTGAAGATGTCAATTCCACTTCCGATTCAGCGGAGCCGCCGAGGGAAGGTGAATTAATTGGAAACGACGACGTATCTAACAACAAAACCTCGCGCTCCGACGAGGAAGATGACAAAAGGAAGAATCTTGCTCTATATTTCGAATCCCAAGGGAATAAACTAGCTGAGGTATTTTTTGGTATATGGATTTTGGGAATTTTCAAATTTTTCTTACTTTATTTGTGCCTAGGGTTTTGGATATCATGAACATTTAGTATATGATTTTTGTATTGTCAAATTGATTTGTGAGGTTAACTTTTTTTTTTTTTTTTTTTTTTTTTCTCGAATATGTAATTTATTGGCAAAAATTCATGTTAATTACCTACTGGAACAATGCATTTGAAATTATGACAAATACTTTTTTGCTATATGTTTATATTTCACATATGATGAAGCTTTTTTTTTTTTTTTTTTTTTTTAATTTGGTAGGAAGGAAAATACCGACAAGCGCTTGGAAAGTGGGAGTCTGCGATTACTTTGATGCCCTCGAAAGCTGTTTTACACGAACAAAAAGCTCAGGTTTTGCTCGAACTTGGAGAAGCATGGACTGCTTTGAAAGCTGCAACTCGTGCGTTCCTATTTAATTTTTTTCCTTCTTAGAATTTCTTTCAAGGTAGTCAAAAAAATCGTAATTTTAGGTAAAACTGAAATTTGGTTTTCGATACATTGGTTGCGTTTCCGAGTTTTCTTTTTCACTTGCTAAGATCTTGAAATTAACCACATTTTTAACTAGTGATTTTTGCCCTTGGTTCGTAGGAGCTACGGAACTGGAACCGAAATGGGGTGAGGTAAAGTTTTCGCCCTTTGCGTGTATTATGCTGCGAAGATTTAACGGAAATGAAAAAAAGTAAATAAATTAATGTGATTTAAATATAATTTAACTCTACCTAAGTATGGTGTGACGAATAGTTGAAAGGGTTGGCACTAAAAGTGTTAATTGGTAATTTCTCTTGTTAAATGTTTTGATGTTAAATAATTTTAATTTTTGGATAGTGATAACTAACTATTCGTTTTTTCGATTAATTCTTGATAGGCGTGGATCACTCTTGGAAGAGCCCAATTAAACTATGGAGAACCTGATTGTGCCATTGAAAGTTTCGATAAAGCGTTGGCCATTAAGGTAGCATTAAAACATTTAAGGTATCTTTAACTGTATACAAAAGTTAGATCTCGAGCGTATGATAATTTAATTATTATCTATTTACAGCCCGATTGTACGGAGGCAAAAGATGATAGGCAGACAGCATTGCATTTAGTGAAGAGGCGAAAACAGCTTCATTCGACAGGTTTGAGTTCAACTGAAAGTCGTTTTCTTATTGGAGATCAAGGCTAATCTAAATCCTCTTGAAGAGTACTGTTTGCCACAACGACTTGTGATAAAATCATCTATGGTTTTCAATTTCATATCGATAGAGTCTCGTGTTCATCGTATAAGGATGAATTTGCTCCCGTTTTTTGAATTAGAAGTCGTGTTGAAATGAAAATATGTTTGTTGTACTTGTAGGAATGCAATGAAAATTTATAAGGCTTAGATTGAAAATAAGTTCAGTTAATATTTTTTAGGATGTTTGTTTAAATAGATAAATATGTAAGTGGTAGGATTAGTGAAATGATGTTCTTTGATTCCTGCCAAATGAAGTGAAAAACTATACGTACAACCAAAATATTCCAAAGAAAACATATTTCAAATTTTCAATCGAAGATTTCCGGTTCGACTCTGTCAAAAGAATCATCTTACAGGTGGTGAAACATACTATTACAATTTGCTACAGGTAATAACCAGGAGCAAAGAATCTGCTATACTACAATTTCCCAGATGTAATACATCACAAGCAGCAGAAACAGAATTCGCGTCTCCTGCCAGTTTTCTGCAAAAAAATGTCCTACATATGCAGTAGCATACAATTGTTACACTGTTACATTTAACAACTAAAGGTACACGACGAAACTCCTTCGTCTCGCCAAAAAATATTCAAGGGTTAGAATTTTCCTCCTCAATCAATACACAAACACACACTCACTAAGCTTTGAGTCCATTTGCCACAAGATTCTCTTCGTAATTCAGAGTTTTCGCTGCATTTAGAAGCATATCCATGCCCCCACCAGACTTAGTCAAACCCTCCACTGTCTTCGTTTCTCCAACCAACGACCTCTTTCTCGATTTAGTATTTTGCATATTCTCGTAAATTTGTTTAGCTTTGAGTACCCGCTGGATTCCCACATCGCACTTTGTGCAAAACCATTTCCCTATAGGTATGGTCTCACGAGGTGGGTCCATACAGTAAAGGTGATACGCGTGATCGCACCCATCGCACAGAACAATCTTGTCATCGTCTCTATCGACAAAGCAGGCTCTGCACAAACAAGAAGGGCAATACCAACAAGGCCCATAAGATATCAGCTGTTTAGTTGTCAAACATTTTACATGGTAAAACTTGTCTTCGCAGAATGAATGACCGCATATCCTGTAGTCTTCTTCGTTTTTAACCTCCATTCTACAACTCTTGCAGTGTGGAAATCTTTTATTATTATTATCCCCTTCGTTTGCATTTAACCCGGTTGAACTCTCCTCCAATTCCTTTGGTGGTGCTTCATATATCAGTTCGTCTTCGAGATTAGAAGCATTCAATCTCTCACAAGCTATGCAGTTGTCATGAGGGGATTCGATTCCCTTTCCTGTGCAATTTGCACAGTACCAACTTCTAACAGGAATTCCTTCGATAGGTGGCTCGATACAAGATAAATGGTACATTTCCTCACATGAATCACACACTAAACCATTTCTTCCGTCAATTTTTTCTCTGCAGTGCCTACAAGTGTGAACTTGGTCGACGGCACAGGCCTGTGTTGGCTCCGTTTTGTGCATGCTATATTCTTGTGTAAGTAACTGTAATAATCACAAAAAGGACATCACATTCAGAACCGAACTACCCAACACATCATAAAAGTTAGCTTAGAAGTCTTCTACTGCGTTTTTCTACCTGAGTCTTTAACTAGTACTAAAATCTGTTTTTCAGCTTTCCATTATGATCCAAAGTCTTAATGTAAAGAAAATATTATTGTGTACATGGAACTTTTTAGCGTAACAATGTTCTGTATTCACAATGCAAAACAGGGAAAAACACAGTTTCAAAACAGTTACCTCATGCGTGCCTTCCTCAAAAATGCCGTTTTCAGAGCTTCCTACCTGCAAATGCAGGGAGTGGAGTCGAAAAAGATAAGATTAACAAGGAAAGCATAAACGGCAAACACAACCAAGCATATGCAAGCAATTACTCTACCTGTTCACAAAAAGAAGTCATTGTTTTGTCCGACAGGCATTTCACGAGGGAAATTATATCATTGCCAAGTCTTTGGAGATTTGTCCATATCTACAAAAGAAAGTTAGAACTGAGACTTACAGCATGTAAATGTATACAAAACACAAATCTACGTATGTATATTCCTCAATTTCATAATACAAGGCAATCGAAATAGCAATTCCAAAACCGGCTGCCCACCGTATCAACTGTCAAACCCTCAACACTGTCATTTTAATCTGCATTCTTATTTGAACACTTCATATACTAGTTCTCCCACTCCGAACTATTTAATACTGAGAGGATATATAAAAGCCTTGGTTATGAGAAGGTAAAAGTCACCAAAAACATTGAGACTTGAGTCTTGATAAGCATGTGTATAAAGTGAAGGATAATTAAAAAACGAGGGCAACTAGAAGACTATCCATGCCTACCCCTTCACTAAAACTTGCCACAACTTAAATATCTACTCTCTATGTCTCCAGATGATCGCATGCAATGAGAAGACGCATAGGCATTAAGCAAGTCAGTTTCAGAATTGTACCTGTTGTAAATCTGAATGAAATAGCGTGGGCGAACTTTCATATGCTTTCTCTTTCATCCTTGAGTTTACGTGACTCAAATCAAATAATTTGTCAGCCTTCATTCCATTTGCAAGAAATAGACTGCATAGTTGAGCAAACTGTTCTGACATAATAACATCAAACAAGGTGCAGCGACAGAGCTTTGCAACTCTATCGTGATTTGATTCAGAAGCTGATTGACTAGATGGTATGCCCGTAGTGCCCTTAACTTCATTTTGAAGACTATCAGGAACAGACCCGGTCGGGGAAGTGTATTTGCTCCGAGATTTACAATAATGTACAGATTCCTGCACAGGGAACCACATTAATCTGCTAAATATATACTAATTAAAGGCTGCAATTGAGAAGCCTAGTATAAAAAGGACCTTTTCTGGTGCAGGAAAAGTGGGGATCTTATTAACTGATAGCTATGTTTCATTCATGACCGGGAAAATCAATGCAAAATAATATTCTAATGAACAAGAAAATATAGGTTGCAGGCAATCAATGATGCGGTACATACCTTAACAGTATTTCTGCTACCACTTCTTGGATGAAGTGCAAGAGCATTTTGGATGCATTCTTTTAGACCACCTTCTGTTTCCAACGATTGGCATATCCGCTCGAGAACAATATTTCTTTGATGGTTGAGCACGCAATCATGGGAAGCACTTGTATGTGAACTTTCCTGAATAACTTGATCCGACGAACTCTTCATTGACTACAAAATCAAATGAAGAAACCTCAAAACAAGCACACATGGGACTTGCAGTAAGAGAGAGAACAATGATGAGGGGAATAGGAGATCAAATAGAAATCCAAACAACACACAAAACATGTCAATTTTTAATCAAACGAGAATTTGAAATGAGTTGTTGGCCGTAAAATTTAAAACAGTAACAAAACAGAGAGGCTGTTCTCTCATTATGGATCCCTAGATGCTAGGAGCCTTGCAATATGCCAAAGAAACATGACACTCTGTTCTTCATATTAAAACCTTAGTTCTGGGAAACTGAGACATGGCCAAACGAGCCTTTTCAACAAGACATAAAGCAAAGAAAAAAGTAACTTAATTTGCAATAAGTAACTTTGTGAATTGAGAAATTACCACACCTTCTCAAAGAGTCGAGTATCTGCATCATCCAAAACCATATCATGCTCCACATCTTTGGCAATCCTTCGTCTCTTGTAAGTAAGCATACCACCTCCTAACCCTGATGAACCAGTTTCCGCATCACTTCCACTTCCACTTCCATTCGCCTGCGACTCACTAACCTTGAACTCCACCATTCCACTTCTAGTACGACTTCCGACTCCAATAAAATCGTTTTCTCTACGTTCATCGACCATTATAATAATTCAATTACCCACAAACAAAAACGAAAACCACAATCATAACCTAAAATCAAACCAAACAGCATCCAAAAATCAAAAATTCCCAGCCAATTACTAATAAAATAAAAATAAATCAATCAAACGCATCTATCTAGGTCAAAACGCAAGAAGCAGAGCCTGCAAAACCCCCCCAAAACGACAACGAACAACTAAATGTGAAACTTAAATACTTTTACTTCAATAAATTTTACAACACTACCAGAAAAAGAAGCAACGATTACAAGATACTTACCGGCGAAAGAGGGAGAGAGAGAATCTCAGTTGTTTATCGGAACCCTAGTGAGAGAAAGTGCGAGTGGATTAGGAGAGGGCTTTTCAAAAATTTTGAAAAAATGAGAGGGCATTTCTGTGTGTTGTTCGGAGTTCCAATTTTCTTTACTTCTCAGCTTTTAAATTGTCCTTTTGTTACTGGTAACCGAATCAACCGGCAATTAAACAGTTATCGGGCATTTCATCTCTTTCTTCCACCGGCACGTGCCGGTTTGGTTTGCTGTTTGCGTAATTCATTTCAAAAATTATTATTTATTAATTATTAAAAAGAAAAAAGGGTAAATTACACCTACACCCCTGAGGTATGCTAAAATACATTTAAGGTCCCTTTAGTATCGGTACTTACAATCACCCCTGAAACATTGGTAGAAACCGTAACGGAATAATGCATTGAATACGTTACTTAGTTAGGCTCTAATGGACTATTAGTCGCAGGCAGTGGTGGAGACAACATAGAGTTAGGGGGCATGACTCTCGTAACATTTCTAAAATTCTTATTATTTCATATAAAATTTATAAATTTTCGTCTATGATAGCATTAACGGCCCGCGAGAAAAAATATAGTGCTTATCGTCACCAGGACATAAAATCTTAGCTCCGGTAATTGTTTCAAAGGTGTGGCTATAATTAACCCAATATCATAGGGACCTTAAAGTTATTTTATCATACATCAAGGGTGTAGGTGTAATTTACCCAAGAAAAAAAGAAGGAAAAAATATTATTTAATACTGAAATGCTAAATCCTGCACTAAAATTACAAAATCCCACACATAAATAAAATAATTTCTCTCTCTAAAATCCTCCAGCACCCAAAACCCTCTTCCTTTCCTCTTCTTTTCCCCCATACTTCTCTACTCATTGTTTGCAAAATCACCCTCCAAATCAAGAAATAAGTAGTTAAATATTGCAATTTGTGTTGAAGTATTTACTCTGCAGTGGTACTTTTCTGGTTATGGGGACTTAGGGTTTGCAGGGATGGAATGTGTTCATCCATTAAATTTTGTAAGATGAAAATTGAAAATTGAAACCTTATATCTAAATCTAAACACTTATATTCATCAAGCTTCAGAGCAGATTGAATATTTTTTAATCCATGTAGAAACAACGACATATTTCAAATCACTCAAAAATCAAATCAATTCAATCGACGAACAAGCAAAAAAATCTTTACATCGCGCTAAAAAAGAATGCGGACGGAGATAGGTGGGTGTCTGTGGTGGCCGCGCGGTGAAGAAAGGTGCGTCCACCATAGCCGCGGGTTGTAGTAGTCGTGCGTCCAAGGTGGATGCAAGGCAGAAGAAAAAAGCATCCATGGTGGACGCAAAAGGGTGTCAGATTTTTTTTTTAATTTAGATATAATAATTATTTATTAATATTTAATATTTAATAATGATATTAAATATTCTTAATGTATATGTTTTATGTTTGTTTTCTTTTGATCAATAATTTAATAACAATTATTATTAATTATTTAGTAATGTTTTATGTTTTTTTCTTTCTTTAGATCGATAATTTAAAATTATTTTATAAGCGTTAATAATTGTTTATAATTTTACAATGTTTTAAATAGTTATTTAAGTAATGTTATGAATAATTGTTTGATTTAATAGTTATGAATATTAATAATTGTGTGTGAAAAGGAGTAAACAAAAGAAGTGAAAGGTGTTGAGGAGAGAAGTCAGAGAAAAAAGTTGTAGAGAGAGAAAGTGTTTAATTTATGTGCAGGATTTAGTAGATTTTAGTGTAGGATTTAGCACTCCCCTATTTAATAATATTCACTTGTATAGTATTGGGCTTTCAAACTATGGGCCCACCAGATATCATTCCTAAACAGCCCTATATAAATATTTTAAAACAATTATATTTGGCTCCGCCGTATCTTCCAAAACAAAAACCACCATAAAAAGGTATCAAAATTCAAATGCGGCGGAACCACCACCGGCGATTTTCGTCCGGTTCAGACGACGACGACGAAGACGATGAAGATGAAGAAGAAGATGAAGAAGAAGAGAATGTATCCTCTGCGGCGCGGCGGCGGACGAGGATGAAGTGTCTATCCTGCAAGGAGGAGTACGGCGACCGCAACGCCGGCACTTGCCGCGAGTGCTATGAGGAGGCGGGGGAGACGGAGGAGGAGCTCAAGCGCCAAATCGTTGAACTCGATTCCAAAGTCAACTTTCTTTCCCTGATTGCAATTAGCCCCAAATTCGTACCCACCGCCAACCCTCGATGCTTTTCCGACGTCGTTTTGGTCGCCTCTGGTCCGCCGGAATCAGATAATCCACACTGCAATTCGCCTTCAATTCCGGCACATCGCGCCGTACTGGTACAGTTTCCACTGCCCTAGGGTTTTGCCCTCCGTCGATTTCAAGGCTGCCTTTTTAGAGATTATAAAAGTAAAACTCAATATTTTTCGATTTTATTTCTGATTCATTTGTCACATGTTAAAAGCGTTTTACTGAGATTCTCTGTTTTCGGAGCAGACGAGCAGATCTCCGGTTTTCAGGGCAATGCTCGAAAACGAAATGGAGGAGAGCCTCACCGGAACTATCATGATCCGCGATGTATCGTACGACACCCTTCGAGCGTTTGTCAACTATATGTACACAGCCGAAGCATGCCTTGGCGAGAACATGGCCTGCGATCTCCTAGTGTTGTCGGAAAAATACCAAGTGAAGCATCTCAAGAACTACTGCGAGAAGTATTTGATGTCTACGTTGAATTGGGAGAATTCGATCCCCCGTTATGCTTTTGCTCATCAGCATGGGGCGAAGAGTTTGCTCGATTCATCATTGTCGTTGATTTTGGACAACATGGATAAGCTCGGCAAACGAGAAGAGTATGTGAAACTTGTGGAGCGGGACCCACGGATGGTGGTGGAGATTTACGAAGCTTATCTCTCGAAACAAGTGAATACGGGTTTAAGTAAAGATCGATTTGTGAAGGCTTAGGCTGAGTAAATATTCTTTTGTTTTTTGGGGGGGATTTCATATATGTCTTAGTTAGTATGGTGAGCATTGATGTAATGATTTATTTTGGTAGAGAGATTCTTCTTAACAAGATGTTTCATGGGAGCAAACAATTTGTGTAATGCCGAAGATTTGATTAAACTGTATACGAACAAAAAAAACGTCTAAATATGTGTTAATACGTATCAACATATAATGCATCCGTTCCCCCCACTCGCGTGCCGAATGTGTCATGTACCTCAAATCGGGTCTAATAGCAACTTTCTCCTACTCGATCACGTTTCTGAAAAAACTAGCCGTCTCGCACGTAACAAATATTCGAGACATTCGCAGCGCCCCTCAAAAGAACCGAATGGTGGGTTCGATACTCCTTTTTTCCTTCTTGAATTTAGCACTAAAAAATCTAGTGTCTGTTTTCGGTGCAGTTAGTGCATTGTTTTTAGTGTGTATTTTCGGTGTTGTGTTTGTATATTTTTGTAGTGTGTGTTTCCGCTATAGTGTGTGTGTATTTTTTTAGTGTGTGTTTTCGATGTCGTGTGTGTATTTTTTTTAGTGTGTATTTTCGTGTGTCTTTCGATGTAGTGTGTGCGTATTTTTTGGTGTGTGTTTTCGGTGTAGTGTGTGTATATTTTCTAAATGTGTGTTTTCGATTTCGTATGTTTATTTCTTTTAGTGTGTATTTTCGGTGTAGTTGTGTGTGTGCTTTTAGTGTGAGTTTTCGGTGTAGTGTGTATTTTTTTAGTGTGTGTTTTTGGTGTATTTTTGTATATTATTTAGTGTGTTATTAGTGTGTTTTGGGTGTAGTGTATGCAATTCTTTTTAGTGTGTGTTTTCAGTGTAGTGTGTGTATTTTCTATATAGTGTGTGTAATTTTTTCTAGTGTGTGTTTTCGTTTTAGCGTGTGTATAGTTTTTAGTGTGTGTTTTCTGGTAGTGTGTGTAATTATTTTTAGTGTGTGTTTTCGGTGTAGTGTGTGTATATTTTTTAGTATGTCTTTTGGGGTAGTGTGTACATATTTTTTTAGTGTGTGTTTTCGCAGTGTGTGCAGTTATTTTTAGTGTGTGTTTTTTATGTAGTGTGTGTAATTCTTTTTAGTGTGTGTTTTTTGTGTAGTGTGTGCTTTCGGTGTGTGGTGTGTAAAAAAAATCACGATTAAAATAACCAAAAACTGTATGCTATAGTACACAGATTTTAGTTAAAATTGGTGCAATGTCCAAAAAACTGTTTACGATCAAAACCACAAAAAACTGTTTACACAGATTTTAGTTAAAATTGGTGGAACGTCCAAAAAACTATTTCCCGATCAAAATCACAAAAAATGTTCACTATAGTACACCAATTTTGGGTAAAAAATGGTGGAACGTCCAAAAAACTACTTCACGATCAAAATCACTAAAAACAGTACACAAATTTTGGGTAAAATTGGAGGAACATCCAAAAAACTATTTCACGATCAAAATCACCGAAAAACTGTATGCTATAGTACACAAATTTTGGGTACAATTAGTAGAACGTCCAAAAAACTTTTTCACGATAAAAATCACCAAATACTATACGCTATATAGTACACAGATTTTTAGCGTATATTTTGGGTGTAGTGTGTGCAATTCTTTTTAGTGTGTATTTTTGGTGCAGTGTGTGTATTTTCGGTGACATTCGCAGAGCCGCTCAATAGAACCGAATGGTCGGTCAGATACTCCTTTTATCCTTCTTGAATTTAACTCCCCAATATCGGAGCTCGCTTGCAGATTTGACATGCCTTCGAATTACCATATTTTCTCCTCGTCGGTTTTTGTGCCTGTGGATTTTTCGATATGTCGAAAACTACAACATCCTATGCATGAGGGCAAGAATCTCGTTAACATCTTTCGATCCTAATTAAGAAAAAAAAAAAAAAAAAAGAAACAGATCGAACAGACTACAACGGACATTGCCTTCCTTCAGTTTCATTGTTTCGAAGAGGTTGTTGAGAATGAAAACGGAATCTGGTTCGCGATCAATGCGAAATCGTACCTGTACACTAATACAAATTAATATTGCTCTTTAATCAATAATTTTGAATTTGTTTCTTTTTTTGTATTACAACAATATAATCAAGGAGTTTCCATGTCCAAGTTTACATTTTGAGAATTACACATAAGAAAATAAATAAATTATTTATCATTTTTCTCTTCCCTTTCCTATAAGCTATATATAATCATATGATGTAAAAAAAAAAATATGATTACAATCTTTTTTCGCAAGTTAAAAGTTTCCAATTCGAGTGAGGACCCTCTCCCGAATCGAACACAAAAGTCACCCATCCGACTGCTTTCGCGATTTCTTCGAGCTCGTTAATCACAGAAGTGATGTCACGTACGTAAACTCGTCCACCTGGTCTTAGTATTCGATCCATTTCCATCACAATGCTCGATATATTACACCTTCAATAAATATTTTAAAAATAAATTATTTATTTCAATTGTAGGATAAATAATATAATCAAACAGAAACAATATAATTTGTTTGTACCTTTTCTGCTCTACAGAGAAAAGACCTGCTGCATTCAGCATGTCATATGTTCTTGGATATGTGTCAAATGGCTCACACCTGTCACATTTTTTTTAATTTCACATTAAATTAAAAAATAATGTTAAATTCTATTACATCATAGTACAAAACAAAAAAAAAATTGCTAAAAAAAATTCATACCAATCATGTATAACGCCTATAAGACCGCGATCGAATATCACAGGCAGTGTATTCGAGCCACTAACCGGAACAACATTCATAACCCAAGAATTAACCTCGAAATCGAGTAAAGCAGCTGCGAATCTGTAAAAGGGTAAAATCGTCAAATCAATCGGAACTATAGTTCGAAAAATCTTCGAATTAGTGCAAAAAAAAGACGAAATTACCCTCCGTATCCAGCTTTCATGTCCATAATATTTCGCAAGTTCAACTCGTTCATGTGAAAAGCACCGATGTATCCACTTACGATATCGTTCCAATACTTCGAATCTGCTTTATACAGTTCCCTCCTCGAGTTGAAAGCATCCATTTTTATGGTGAAAAGCCTCTCGGGCGGGCTATGCAAACGGGCGGGCCAGTTTGTGATATTGGCTCCGTATCCATTTTCGGGTAAACGGGTTATGCATGCCTTTGCGTTTACGTACCATATTTCATCGGGATTATCGGTAGTGTCACATAGTGAAGGTGTCATTACATCACGATCACGGTTGAGATAGCAACTATTGTTTAGAGGCTTCTGCCAAATTGCTAAGTACCCTTCCTTATTTACTAAATCCCAGCAAATTTTGCTAGTAAGATCCTCCATTTCTGTGAAAATATAAGAAGTAAGTAATATATGTCTGAAGTAAGTAATATATGTCTGTAATAAAAAATAATAATAAATAATTTGTTGATCTTGAAATTTCAAGAATGGCTAGATACCTCTCCATTGTTCGATTAGTTCGCCTTCGTTAACGGCTTTTGATTCCCACACAAAGTACCCTCCGCCTCTAAGAATTCTATTCGCCTCGAGAAGCAAAATCCCATCTTCATCGCAAAAAAAAGAAAAAAGTATAAATATTAAAATTGGTGTTTCGGAATTCTAATTCGAAAAAATGGGGCAGAAAGAAAGAGTTTTTATCAATTACCATGATTTGTCCAATTAATTCTACATCTAGAACAATGAATTAAGTCGAACGCTTGGCTAGAGAAAGGCAAGCGGTGGGTCCCACCGAATGAAGCTAACATGGCAGGTACACCTCTTTCTAAGGCGAATTGAATTTGATTTTCACCGACGTATTTTGGAGATATTGAAAGAGTAGTCACATTTCGGTTGATCAAGTAGGCACCGAAATTTGCAACTCCAGAGTCGATATCTAAAACAACTCGCGTGTGTTGACCAAATGCAATTTCCGGAACCATCTATGTACATTTTGCTCCACAAATTAGTGTTGAAGAAAATCGAACATAAAATTGAGAGAGACATTGAAGACAAACAACCAAACCTTGGATATTTGATCCAAATACCGGTCGGTGCTAGGGATAAATTGAGGCCCGTTTCCTCGGAATATAAATTTATCGTCTTTTCTCGATATCCAATTTCCTTCACCTTTTTCTTCAACCAAACGAGGTACATTATCGAACCAAACCTACAAAGAGTTGGATTTTTTTTCTTTGCAAAAAATTAAAAAATCTCAAGGAAAACAGAGTATGTACATAAATTTTCCTATTTCTTCGTAATTCTACATTTGATTTTGATTCGCCATTATCGAAATTTCCCATCGCAAACAAAAAGAATCGAGTTAATTACATATACTAGAAACCATGTCATTCCCTATTCTCACTCTAATTGCTAGTGATCATATACATCAATGATTATATTTAAAGCCAAATTCAAGAATCCAACATTAAATAACAAAAAAAAAAATCCAAATCCCACTATAATTAACTAAATCAATAACAAATTAATAAAAAAAAAAAAAAGAGTACAAAATCGAAAAATTTATACCTCATCTCGAGATTTCGGCCACGGAATGTGAATCTTGTACCCTTTAGGCCTAGGCACCAAACAATCCAGTTTCTTGCCATTTTCCGGGCAATGCCGCTCGTAATTTCCGCCCTTCTCCGATGAATTGAACCTCGAAACAGAATCTACATTGTCCAAACAAGGTATATAGTTTCCCATACTCTCATCACAAAATCTAAATTTCTCAAATTTCACAACTTTTCTTATTACATCACTCTCTCCTCTGTCCTTTTCATTACCACCACCATTGACATTTGCCACCACACTTTTTATCAGCTCTTCATCAAATTCCCCCACTGTAAATTCATCTGTCATAACCCCCATCTCGTTAACTATCCCTGTTCTCTCCAGCACCGCCGCCGGAGGCGGCGGCGGTGGCTGCGGAGGAGGAGGGGTGGAAGGGTTTGTTGTGGGGGTGGAGTTGAAGAAAGAAAGATGGTGACTTTGGGCTGTGGTTGTGGAGGAGAGAGAGAAATGTTTGAAGAGAAAGAAGAGAGAGAAAGAGAGGAGAGAGAAAGCTGTGATCTTTACAAATGTTGAAGATGAGCTTGTGAACATGGATTTCATCTTCTCTGTAAAATTGGGTGAAGAAAGACAAAATCAAGAATTGATTTTTTTTTTTTGTTTTGGGGGGGGGGGGGGTTTCAGATTCTTTGCTGAATTTGCTGAAAAAAGTTTTTATATCTCAAAAGCCAAAAGTGATTCTGCTAACAGCTTTTTGTTTATTTAATGTTTAATTTTAATTGCATTTCCATTAAAGAAGTTTGGGTACCTTGTAAAAATCAATTCTTGCTGTTAGTACAAGCATTGGATTGATCTTTGTGCATGGATTGTTTGCCCAGAAAGGAGTAGGGTCAAAAAGGGGAAAAAGATTTGGTGGGGCTCTACGGTACTTTATTACTGCGGTTCTGTCCAATTAGAGCTAGAAATTTTTAAGAAAGAATGGAGAACTTTTTTAGTGTTTAGCGACTTTAGTGTAGAGATGGGCGCACTGGAGGGGGTATTTGATTGTTGGAACGTTTACGGTACGATTTTGTTGTATTAATAAATACATTTTTTGAAAAATATTAATAATCATGAATTAAGGAGGTTTATTGGGAGTCAAAAATGGGGTAAAGCACATGGGATTGTCCTTAATTAGTACTAGTAAAAAAGAAAGTTAATTACAGATTAAAATTACTAATAATAGACTTTTTAATTGCTTTTTTCCGTAATTAGTTTTGTTGATTCTAAATGACGTCAACCTACATTTCTTAATAAAATAAGTAAAATGTTAATATTGTTAGAAATGTAGGTATAAATAGTTTAAATTCATATAGTACGAACGAAAACTTCAATTTTTCGATGTATTCGTCTTTTGAACACGTTTTGTATCAGACGCTCGAGGACACGTTGTGAATTATTTGTCCCTTGATGCCTGCTGTGTGTATAT